TTTAAGAAGTTATTTCTAAATAGCAATAATCTATATACATATATAATGTATAATAATTGAAATGTTACTGTATTTTACAAAATACTGGTCTACTAACACATAGCCAAGACAAGTTACTTTGCACAGACCAAAGGTCAGTTTTATATTATTTGATACGGTAACATGAGTGCACGTGAGCCACGTCATTGTAATTTCTGTATTGTTAGTCAGGCACAGCTGAAAGGTCAATATAATAAACATATATATATATATATATAAATGTATAATGTTATGAGATATAAGCTATTTAGTCTAAACATTTATGTTTTCATGTTATAATTTGTGTTCATTCTAGAATGAAAGAGGCATAATTTATATACATTTCCTAATTCTTTATGGTGGTTGCAAGATCAGTCAAATCTACCAAACCCATACAGAGATTCGTTAATGAAAATAACAGATAAAATATAAAGCTTTTTCTTAAGAAATGTTTGATAACTATCTGAACATTATAAAGATTTTGCATATGAAATTTCAAAATTTTCTGAAGCATAAAAGTAATTTTAATCTTAAAATGAATATTACTTTGCATGATAGATAGACAAAATGTGAAAAGAAAGAAAAGAAACGAAAAAACATTGCTTTTCAAACTTTAAGACTTAATAAATAGATTTAATATTTTGTGTATGAAAGCATTGTAATGTTTACTGATAATCTGCCAAATTTCATTAATTGAAAAGTTATAGCATGAAAACTATAGCAAGCACAAACTGGTTACGAGGTCGGTCCCAGGGACCGAGCTCGTGCAGAGAGAGTTAATAAACATGATCTATGAACTGCTAAGGAAGTCCTTTTTTTTTACATTAAATTGAAAGTAGGGAAACAAATCATGACTATATATTTTCATAATATATCATAGTTAGAAAACAGCCTCTGCTTATTATAGTATCAGTGATTTTCCATCTCATCTTTACACGTAGAAGTAAATAAATAAGTAATACAAAGTAGAAACAAAATACCTGAAACATTTTGGAGAATTTGATAACACAGAAGCAGTTTTGAGACTAATAAAGACTGCTTGAATGGGCAATGAAGAAAACTTTATTACAAGTTTAATATAGTAACAAATACAAAACACTTTGGCAAGGTTTTTGTCATCATCAGTGAACTTGTGTCTGCATGACACATTTTTCAATAAACTTGCAGGTGATATATTTCTTTAATTACTACCTTTTTTTACAAATGCAAAAATTCCAAGAATACAATCATCTCCATCAAACTTTATACAATATACTTGAAATGAAAGAAATAATTTCAGTTATTTACAAAGACAAAAATAAGGGAATTTTTGAATTAGGTCAGGAAAGTAAGATAAATCATAAGTATATTCATGAATTGTATTACTTTAAGAAATTAGAAATAAAAGAATTAAAAGTTCAAATGCACACAAAACAACACTTAAAGGATAGGTTTTCAAATACACAATCTAGTACATTTCCACTTACAGTAAGATCATGGTATACACATGCACGCACACACAAAAACAATCTGTACCAATTAACTAGACAAGGCTACACCATTTCAACTAAGTCACTGTAAACCAAATAGTCTATCTTTAAGATTTTGTTAGTGTCATAATAAAACATTTGTTGAAAGCCACCTTTATTCAACAACTTCAATTAATTTTTACCAAAAGAGAAATACATAATTAATTAAAATATTTTCAGAATGCATCAAGGGTAAGAGTTCCATATGGCACCCCCACTCAATTTAAAAAAAAATTCATCAAAGTAATATTTATGTATTAATAAATCATATTAATAGTATGATCTGATAATTTTAATACATTATTATACCACTTACTTCATTAATTAGATGTACAATCTTCTTGGGGATAAACTTTACAAATGACTTGTATAAAGGCATCAAAAAAGCTACTTTTATCAGAATATAATATTCTCCACATGTATTCACACAAATGCTTGTCAAATGTCTTTGCCCTGGTATGTGTAGTTGGTAGTTGTCTTTTGACAATACACCCCTTAAAATAAACCCTTTTCAGAATCTTTTTTATCCAGGCAATTCTACAATTTTTGGGTGGGGGTGCCATATCGAACTCTTTCCGCATCAAGAATATATCATTTTTTCTGTGCAAGTCACATAACTTTTGTACAAAAACACAAGTCTTACCTATGGAAAGAGAAAACTTTGCTTTATGTGAGAGTTTTGAAATGTCACTTTGTTCTTCAGTCTTCTTCTTCTTATAACGATGCAAATCATCTGATGAATTTGTGCTTTTTATCTCTGGCTTTCTTTTCTCTGTTGCTATAATCTGTAGAACATCTTCACCCAATCCATTCAAACATGCATCGTAGTATTCTGGTGGGGCAGTTTTTCTCCTTCTCAACATGACTACCAGCTGAAGAATTAAGTATGTATTTTTAAAAATTGTAACTTCTTGACCGTTTTTTAAAAACTGTCATTAAAATTATCATATTACGAGATGTTTTAGAAAATTTGAAATAATGTGACTCTTAAACTGAGTCGTGATCAGTTACGGTTTTATCCACGTGTTTAATTAAAATGAATTTTTTTCATCCATTTACAACTTCCAGAATTAAATCAATTTTCTGTTTTGCATATTTTCCATTATTATTGCTTTTTAAGTTGAGCTGTGCTTAACAAAGTTTGGTATTTGTGTAAATTTATAATTATATCATGAGATAAACCAATACAAATAATTGGTCATTCGACATTTATTTTACCAGCACAACTTAACACACTATGCAAGGACAATGTACACATCAATGTCTATAATGAATATCACATGATTATGCTTTGAATTTTATCTACATTAACATAATTTTGTACTGTCAAATATGCACATTTATTTATTTTATTACATACTACTAGTAATACAGGTTGTATATTATTATAAATTAATAATGATCTTATAAAAAAAAGTCGAAACCAAACCTTAAGTTAAAAACTATAATTTATAAAACATTTACTCCACCTACCTCACATAAATTTTTAATAAAAATTAAAACTTAATTTAAGGCTGAATTTAGAGTTTAGTGTTAAACTTAGTTTTGATTTTGCTCATTTGAACTATTGAATTTGAAATAAAAAAATCATGTTATGAATTTCAGAATCCTAATAAATAAATCAAACCTCATAAAACTATCAAAAGTTGCATCAAAGAAAGCGAATGGCTGCAGCAGTGTAGAGCAGTGCTGTACCGAGAGTGAAACTTCATTCGTAAACGGTAAAGTCACCTAAGGCTAAATGCTTCTCTGACGTTCAATTTCCAGCCTGGTAAATTAGGTTAGGACTACAAGATGTACAGCTAAGCCTAACTCTTATATTTTATTTCAACAGTAATATTAAATAAGTGAACGAATAGTTTACATAATTATGATTACATTACCGATTACCTTTATTAATGAAGTCCCAGCGTCCCTATAATTTTACTTGTAACATTTAACTTCACAATATTAATACAACTAATAGTCCTACTGAATATATAAGCATCGACGTTAAACAGTTGACTGATACCGTAAGTGAAACAGTACTGAATCCAAGTTGTAGGTGAATGAAAACTAAAATCACGTGATTAAGCTAACAAGTTTCATGCAGCTTTTAACTTCCGATGTTACTTTACCGCAAGTATTTCAACGGAAACACTTACAACTGTAACTAGTTTAGTTTTACGTGAAAGAAAGAAAACACAGTTTGAACTATATTACGTATGTAAAGTGAACCTGAGTTTACAAATAATACGTGGTGCTGAACATAATACAGACATGAAGGGCTTCAACAACAAAAACAAACAAACAAACAAATCTAATATCTTTTAGAAGTATTTATCATTCTTGATATCCCCCTAGTGAATCAGCTTTAAGTTTACAGACTTACAACACTTAAGTCAAAGGTTCGATTCTCTACGCTTAACAGAGCGCAGATAGTTCATGGTGTAGCTCTGTGCTAAAATAAACCTATAACTATCATTTATTTATCTAGACATAGCAACTAAAAACCATACTCGTGTCTACAAAAGTTATTAAATCAAGTTATTATTTATCATATTTTGCGATCATATTTCCAATACAGTCAAATAAACATTCAACGTCATTGCTCATGATTGCTGGCATTTAAATAAAATGCATGGACTTACAACACTAAGACCCCCAGTGGCTCAGTGCTAACTCTGTGGGCTTAAATTATAATTATAAAAACCAGTTTTGATACCCGTGGCGGGCACAGCATGGATAACCCATTGTGCAGCTTTGAGTTCAACAACAACAACAGAATACAAAATCAGCACTGAAGTCAAGGGTTCGATTCTCAGTGGTAGACAGAACAAAGATAGCTCATTATCTAGTTTTGTGCTAAAACAAAAACAACAGAATACAAAATCAGCACTGAAGTCAAGGGTTCGATTCTCAGTGATAGACAGAACAAAGATAGCTCATTATCTAGTTTTGTGCTAAAACAAAAACAAACTAAACTGTTCAATGATTGTATATATATAGAGTGATTTGTTTTGCAAGATGTGAGCAGAAACAAATCGGATAGAAGATAATAAAGTACTTTTACTTCATCTACCTCACATAAAATTCAAGTCAAGACCACGCACATATGCAGGGGGTTTCGATGGGGTTCACCTGAACCCCCTACTTTTGAGATGTAAAAAATATATGCTTATTTAGTTATAGCGCAGCTGCTTATGGTATTTAACGTCCACATTCTTCTGATGAAGCATTAGCATTTTGGGGGTTGAAATAGTCGCATGCAATGACTTCTGTTGACACTTTATAATTATAATCCTGAATCCCTATTGCTACTGTCAGGTTTTGTAGGCCGAATTCTTTACAGTAGGTGTCTTTGAATTGTTGGCGATAAATTTAAACAATTAACAAACAGCAAAACAGTTCACTTGTTTTAAAATAATATATTAAAACAAGTCAAACGTATATACAAATGTTCG